ATTCTCTTCATTGTCTCACTTGCTTGTCACACTCTTCATTGTCCCACTTGCTTGTCATTCTCTTCATTGTCTCACTTGCTTCTCACACTCTTCATCGTCTCACTTGCTTGTCACACTCTTCATTGTCTCAATTGCTTGTCATACTCTTCATTGTCTCACTTGCTTGTCACACTCTTCATTGTCTCACAAGTTTGGCACACTTTTCCTAGCGGCACTGCATGCGCGCACTAGAACGTGTTTAAATTTTGGTATACCATCACAAACAGTTCAAGATGTTTGATTCTATTTGTCGAGTAAACATGCAGGTTCAAATCAATTTTCAAATGCGGATCGTGAATTATGTCGATAGGTTTCAATGCTCTAAGCTGTCGTGTATTTCGTTTCCAATTGAAACAGTATAAAACTATTTTTTTCATTTATAAAATTTTTGGGGCAAATTTTAATTTGTCAACCATTCGTTGATTATGGAAACGAAAGTGATTATATTTAACAAATCATTTATGAGTTAAAAGAAGAGAAAATTATGAGCCATATGCCCGTCAGAATGTTTTTATGCTCATGAAAAGATTTTTTTCTATTTCAACAATATTTTTTCACTGCAGATACGAACTTGAAGACATGCAAGCTCGACAAAGACCCTTGCCTGAACCAAGGCTACATGGGCCCCGCCTGCAAGTGCCTCTGCCCGCCTGGCACAAAGGGCAAGAACTGTGAAGTTCTGAAGATGTCTTATGAAGGTACGAACCAAGTAGACGTGATTTTCAACACCATATGCAACATTAGTATGAAATATTGGGATATTTCAACGATTATGATCACGCATGGAAGGGATTTTCTTACACGTAACGTGAGCACCTGATTCACTTAAATCCTCGTTCAAAATTGGAAGTAAAAAAATATATTCTGATGCATCATTATATAAAATAATTAATATGTTAACAACAGATTCAAATTAATGTTATGAATTTGAATTATTTGTTACAAATTAACTTATTTCTTACAATTCAATGTACAAGGTTTTGTGAAAAGTTCCCCGCAAAATTTAGTGGATGCCTTGTAACATCATATTACACCTTACAAATGTAAGGTTCTAATATAATTATATTATTATTATTATTAGGCTCCAAATTCTTGCAAAGAAATTTCACAGTACTTTAAACATAATTTAAGCCAGCATGTTCTATTTAATTACTCTGATTTCTATACTCTAGTTACTTGGATGATATAAGAATGAATTACCTTCATAATTTCAAAATCAACACTCGTGAGTAGATATTCATCACTGAATAATTATGTTTCATGATTATAATTATGTAAGATTGTCATCACATTAAAATAGTTATCGCTAGCTTCTATGTTGACTTCGATTATATATAACATAGAAAAGAATGTTCCTCAAGAAATGTGCCTGATAAAATATTGAAATTGAACTATTTAATTTTTTTTATTATAGATTATATTGTCTTACAGATGCGATGCTGAAATTATTCTGGCCAAATTCAACCAAGATTACAAAGCCCAATACGGTGGTCCAGACCCCAGGATATCCTGACGCTGTCAACTCTGGTACGGATACAAGAAAACAGTGATAAATGTATAGATAGTTGAATTCTGTTATTGTCTAATGATTTCTTTATTTTCTTCCTTTCAGTTAACATTTGGCTGATTATTGTCTATTGGTAGCGATACAAATCAATTGCAGCTTAATAAAAAATTATGGTTTTTAATAAATAAAATAGATTAACAGTCACTGAATTTTTTGGTATTCTTAAATGAGCGATGATTTAACAGGTGTCATGTGCACAATTGAATGAAAAGATTAAATGTTCCAAAATCACTTCTCACAAACTAAAAAATATTGCTCTTTTATTTTGTTGATGCTTCAATAATAACGTACTTCTAATTCGTAACACTATTTAATGATATCCAACTAACAGAATTGGTGATGGACATCGTGCTGCAAGCCGGCAAGTGTGAGCGAGTCGTGCTGACGTTTGAGGGCTTCAGTGTCATGGAGCGCTCAGCCCAAGGCCTTTGCCAATCTGATAAGCTGGCAATCAAGTCAAAAGTCGACGATGCAAGCCCTAGGTATGTTAGTTACTCTTGTGGATGAGATCAAGAATATCTAAGAAAAAATAAGAGGGGTGCTTTAAAAAATTTCCTCTATTTCCTACTCTTGCAGTGAATTTTTAGAGTTTCTGATTTTTTCATGAGATACAGATGGTAGAATTCAATTATGTTTAGTCAAGTGCGACAAAAAATTGAATAAATGCATTGGCTCTAACATTTCACAAGTATCACCTCAACAATACAGAATTTGGGTAGCATTGAAAATCATGTCCATATATACATATTCAATTTATTTATATTTTTTAGCTTTAGTCCGTACTGAGTTCAGTTTCAAAGTAAGTCATTGATATATTGTTGTGGTTGTAAGGACTTTCTGCGGCAAAGAAATCTTGCCTGGCCAAGTGTTCAAGAGCGACCAGAGCCTCTTGATTCTCTCGTACCACGGCTTCAACTACGCGGGAGTCTGGGGAAACAACGGTGGAACTACCGGCTGGAAGGCCTTGTTCACCAAGGAACGCATACCAGGCTGGTAAGGAATTAACCCTCTATCGCCGTATGTCACTCTCCAGGAATATAAGTTTCAACTTGAATTAAACTTATAAAATTGAGCGTAGAAACCTGAGGATGTTTGTTCTCAACAGAGAACATTTTAAAGTTGTCGTTCTTTCGGCAACCATCAGTGCGAGTCATTTTGCGCTCACTAGAACGTATGCTTTTTGGGTAGGCTTCTTATTATATTGCTCCCATTACTCATGCCAGGCTGTAGAGGGTAAATATGTATGCAAAGTTTAATAAGAGCTGATTCGTCTCATGAGTGCGGTGGTTGTCGGCACATTCCGAAATCGGAGGATGACTATTTGCGGCTAGGGTGAATATATGGGACTGCCTGCATTGTTGACTAGGTGGATGTAGCAGTTTTTCTTCCAGAAAGTGGGACATGTAGTGTCAGTTGTTGATTATGTTATTATCATCTGAGCGTACGGTAACTAGAGGCAACATCTTAACACAAAAGGTTTATTTGGTCCAACAGTTGATATTATCTTTTTATCTCTTTGTAAAAGAAGTAAGATATTAATTGACATCTTTTTACGATGTTAAGTTTACGTCCAACGCAAGCGTCCAGTTAGTGCATAGAGTCGGAAGACAAGTAGATTAGATAAGTCATAAACACAAATTCAAAACTGTGGATATGTCTCGCACAATTTTTGTGCCTAACAACGCTAGAGAAACGTTTTCAAACCTTCTGTCGGTCGATTACTTGGCTCTATCTTCAAGGCAAATATATACTACTTTATCCTTAGAGCGAACTCGTTGAACCTTATTTCAAATCTTAGGAAACGCAAGGTTTTGCAAATTATTATATACTGTAAATAATTTGAGATTATAATCAAAGTTCATGTTATGATGGAACTTTTTATCGTGATAAAGAAACTTTAGACCGAAATATGCACATTTTTAACTACATGTACAGTACTTAGCGGGAATTTGGATAAAAATCGTTAAATATTTTAAATCAATTCACTATTCTCCCACTCCAATATCAGTATTCCATGAGAAAATATATCGCGTCTAAAGGTCAGAGCCAAAGCATATACGTATTAGTTAATGTTCTCGTTGTAAGCTCATTTATCAACATTCTTTATTTCAAAAACTCTTTATTCTCTCTTTCAGCACGGGTTGAGTGATAGCATCCCTTCTTCCTAACCAAGCAGCTAAATTGTCAGATGTCAACGCGATTTCAACATTGGAAAATGGCGGTGATTCACTTTTCATTCTAAACTATTATTCAATGTTATTTCAAAGAAGCGAATTTTATAGTTTCAACGATGATTCAAAGTGACATTGCTTGCTGGGTAGAAGCCTATGAAGTCAAGTACTTAAAGTCCTTGCACCGAGTGTCCATAGCAACTGCGTAAGCATGCTCACATTTAGGATGGTCATTCTGCATCTGACCTAACCCATTCCGGCCTAACTTTTTCTGACCTAACCTACACAAATTGCAACACTTCTCTACCCAGACAAACTTTATAGCGTGTTATTTGAGTGGTTATTATTATTTACATGGTATTATTTGCATGTACTGATCGCTTGGCTAGGTGTTTCTTTGACAATCTATACCTCCTCCACCGAAGACATTCCAATGGCCATCAGCTACTCACGAATTCAAGTCAATTTATTTAACATGCATATTCTTGTACGCGGAATATTCTTCAAGAAGATTAACCTTTCTTTGCAGCGCAGGGGAAGACGATATATAAAAATGTGTGTGTTTTGAATAAAGGCAATTGTAGCTACACTTCAATAATATTATGTTCAAATTGTTCCCTAGCAAATTCAATTGGGAAAAATTTATGAGAAAATTCGCATGCGAGCGCAGGCTTTCCCGGCTGACTAAAACTAAAGTTCTTATTATGTGACAGGGGCCGGAGTTTAGGGTCCAGCTGCTCAGAGTTGTCAGTTCTTCTCTTGCTAATTCTCTGTTATCTAATTTCTTGTCGTGTGTTTTTTGATGTTTCTCCCGCTCATTTATATTAAACCCTGAATTGGCTCTACCAGCTTGTTGGTTTTTTTTTCTTAAATTTGGTGTGCATCTCTAAGCAATGATTGTAACTCGTTCTTTTAACGAGATTTAATGCAATAAAGCGAACTTACAGCTGTATTATTGAACCTTCTCGTCTACGTCTAGAGTGAAAGGTTGCGCGAAGTGGAACAAATGCTGCACCACTCCGAACGTCGCGACCTGTAAAGGAATCCGCTCTAGTTAATCGCCTCATTTAAATACTTATATAATATATGATATAATATAATATAATAATATAATATAATATAATATAATACAATACAATATAATATAATATAATATAATATAATATAATATAATACAAATACTCGGGAGCTCATAAATACCAAAAATGAATTGTGCGATCATTACATCTTAATAATATGATTTGTTCGCAACATTCTAGGGCTATCCAAATACTGGGTTGATTCTTAGACAATAATTTTGAAGAGAAACATAGAACGGCTCGGATGTCCTTAATTGCACGAGAGTGCCATGTTGGGCACGGAGCTTGCAGGCAACAGTCAGGAAACGTGCACAGAATTATTGAATCTAATATTATTATTGGCGTGTTATTGAATCTAATATTATTATTGACGCGTTGTACCAAGATAGCTTAGAGAAAAAACACTGGAAAGTAACTAGGTGCTATCAACGTACAATTTCTAGCAGCTGCCGTGTCAGTCGGCATGGGCTAAGCACATAAAAGCACATTATTCCGGTTTAAGTCCAGCTGCGTCCGTTTATTCCTGTTTACGTCTGGTTATTCTATGTAGTCCACGTCTCATAATTTCCGTACGCCCAGTTATTTCAATTTACGTCTGATTATTCCGTTTACAACTCAGCCGGTGCCAGCGTCGTCTCCTAGCTGTGGCTCAGTAACGAGCATCGCATGCACTACGGGCTCATACCCAAGGACTTGCTCTATGGAGAACTAGACACGCCCAACTGGCCGCCCTGTTTTGCGTTTTAAGGACGTCTGCAAACGCGATTTTATAACAGCCGACATCGACCCCCGAAACCGTGGAGTAGCTTGCTGACAACCGCTGCGGTTGGCCAAGGACCGTGCGGAAGGGAGTCTGTTTGAGGTTTGAAGACAAGTGTTGTCTTCGATAAGCTCGACAGCAGGCACAGATCATCAACAACAATTCAGACCTTATTTGCGTCAAATACGGTCAAAAGTGTAATGCCGAACTGGCTCGCCACTCGAGGCGCGGCCGTCATCTATAGTTGTGCTGCGTGACAGTCGGGGCGCAGCCATTAATCGAGCTGGGCTGGGCAGATGTGAAGCATACATACTCGCTGTAACGGCTGAAATCCATTATTCAGCTTATAGGTGGTTACCAACCTTCCTATGCGATGGCTTTCACGTTTTCTGGCTATAATTTAATTCACACCAGAGCATGGCAATTAAAAGCTGGTTGAACGGAACACATGAAATTTAATACAGAAACAAATTTTCGTCTAGCCGTAACCACAGCTTGAAATTAGTTTGCATTTAGGTCTACAAAATTAAAGATAGAGAATTAAGTAGAGTATTAGGTTTTATATAGAGTAATAACTTTAAGTAGATTATTAATAAATTTCCAGAGATCAGAGATGATCACAAAACCCTAATGCATTGCTGAAACCTGGATCTGGTCATGAGATTTTGTCAATCAATATTGGGGATAAGGTAGAATGCTTTCGTTTTAAGCCCATAACAAATAACTCATCAAAAAAGTGTAAAATTATCTGCAAACGATTTAAAACTTGTTTCATACTTTGGGAATTCATAAAAGAATGACAGTGACAGAACCAGCGTCATGTATAGTACGACAATTCGGTAACCTCGCAGCTCCTCGACCATAACATTCGATCATGAAACTTTCAATGATTTCATGATCGAAATAGTGTAGAGAAAATTAGGTGAGGGCTTCTATTTATTTCAAAATAGCTAGGAAAGAAAATAAATAGAAATACTTCAAAAAATAAATAGCAATAAACCAAAATCGTGGGAGTGCATGCGGGCAAAGTTTAACTAATTAATGTCCTTCTGATATGAAAACTCAGTTCGTATGCACCAACTTATCCTGAGGCAGCAACCACTTCGAGGTCACGTACTAGAATAGAAGCATTACAGCTGGACTTTCCCACGAGCAACTTCATACATGTTTTTTAACGTGGGAATAATTGTTCACAGTCTTTAAATTAGCTGAATCGTTTTCATTCATTTTAAAAATGCTCATACGTCAAGTTTTGTCATTTTTTTATATCGTCTAATGGTGTCGCAATGGTAAGGATTATCACAATCATTACCACGAAAACAAATGAAAACTTTAGTTTCGGCTATTGTCCCGACCTCCATATCGTGCCCCCAGGAAGCGTCAGTTGCGCTATACTACACGAGAAGCACTCAAGCAAGAGGAAGGTTATTTTTAAACACATTTTTTAACATGATGGTTGTTTGTACACACACGTGTGACTGGCATGGTTATTATGACACACACGTGTTAATAAGAAGGTTATTGATACACAAACGTTTTAAAATTAATGTTATTATTAAACTCTTGTGTTCACACGAAGGTTATTATTACACTCATGTCATGTTATAACATGAAGGTTATGATTACACTCGTGTTAACATTTAGATTATTGTTACAACCATACATGAATGTGAACAAAATCAAACTTTAAGAATAATAAATTTGATCGGAACCATAGTAACAATTCAATAACTGGGAAAATAACAGAATTGGGAAATTGGAGGTTATTAATCGTAGAAATCATTATATATCTGAATCTCTTTAATAGTATATTTTTATTAAATGATACGCGAATTTAAATTGAAACATGCAACACCGTACGTTGGCATAATCTACTTGCAAACAAAATATTGTGAATGGTTTCATAGATGATATAAGGGAAAAACGTACATCATAGCATATAGTACTTGCATTTACTGAAAATAGTGAAGCACTAATTGGAACTTCAAGGTTTGAAACTTTGAGTATTGATTTGCATTTGAAGATTTCTTATTTACCATCCAAAAAATTGATAAAATTTTAAATATTTGGGTGACAAAGAATAAAAAAAAATTTGGTAATGTTTTTTTGCATGAATTTTTTTATTTACGTTAATTGAACAAAAAATCCGTTATTGTTATATTCTGAGTAATGTATCAGTGTGGAAATATGCTTGGCTTGGTCGATATGACTTAGTTGCATCAATAAACGTTTATCAATATTGTCCAGACCAATCGACATCTGAAAATTAAAACTGAATGAAAAAAACCTTTCCTAGTTAATATAACAACGATATTCACCGGTTTCATTTAGAACAGGAAATAACAAAATAGTCATGAATTAACATATGAGGTAAATTGAGTCTCTTACATAAATCTGAGCGTCATATTTAGATAACAGACAGGAATAATAAGCCCATGTTAGAGATAAGATAACGCAGGCGCCGGGGGCCTGATGCCGGGACCCGAGCACAGCTCATCCAGACGTCGCGCGAGCAGCACGCAGCACCTCCCTGCGGCCTAACTGCACGCACGACGGCAACACCGCTGTGGAGGTCAGGATGGTTACATTCAAATATCAGTTAAAAAATGATTTCTTGAGTGAAAAAATTATTTTGTTGAGCTATTTTTATTTAAGGTTCAGCCAACAATTCCGGGATCCTATTCTATACTTCATCCGAGTATTTTTTCCCTTTGCATTAAACAACTTAAGTTTTGCAGTTTCATTTTTTCATTTACAGCCACCGTTGTTTTCAGTTGATTCCGCTACAAAGGCGCTTCTTACATATGGAGTCCCATATATATGGTAATATTGCATGGCAGATAAGACGATTGGTGACCGGCGTAGGCAAGATAACGATGCATACGTACAGTGCACACCAAGAGGAGAGGAGGGGATGTTCGTATAGCTTTTCTGTATAAGTGATAACGTTCGTCGTGTGAATTTGCTATAATTTATACAAATGTAACTTTTAAAATGTTAAATAAATGAATAATTTACTTCTTTTACTTCGCAGGAAACTGAAAATTCAGAAGGGAAGAACGGCGTCGAAATGTTGCGAGGAGTATCTGTGGTGAGAATCATTACGGCTTTTCTTAAGAACTAAGCAATTTAATTCCTGTAGTTCCCATCGATATATCCTGAGAAAAAAAGCGTTTATTAATTTTAAGTCGTCCTTAGCCTACGCTGAGGCAAAAATCTATTCGCTCTATATCATTTATCATGTCGGACTTATAATATGTGTTTTCATACACAACAGGAAATTTGTTTCTAAAACATATAAAATTAAACAAATTTCATTGTGTAATTCATTCAATGAATTTCATTTCATTGTTTCGCGTCGGAATTGCACATCGTGTTGCAGTCGATCAGTGCAGGAGATTGCGAAGTCGGTGAAGACTATTGAGGCTTGTACACGGGGCCACTAGTGGCGACCACTACAACTTTCAGATAATAACCATCACTATTTATCGCGCTACTGGCCTCGTGTATAGGCGCTACTGGTCACTGAAAAACCCAGTAGCGTTGTAGGGGATTGTTGTTTACACGAGACTAGTAGCATGATAATTAATGACGGTAGCATTTGAAAATTGTACTGGTCGCCACTAGTGGCCATTGTATCAGGACCTATGTGAGATATAGTGGTTCATAGAAATATTTTATGCTTCTTGATAATATGTGAGATATTGTTGTTCACTGAAACATTTAATGCTTCTTGATATCAATTTCCATTTTTTGGAAAGGTACGGGGGCCTTTAATATTGGTTATCTTATATTAAAAAATACTGGCAATTGAATTATTTCTTCGACAATAAAGCACTTCTTCTATCTCTATTCATTGTCTTTATTTATTTGGTATCTTTGCTCTTTGTTCGAATTTTTTATAACCTATAAAAATCCCTATTTTACTATAATTTTGAAATATCAACACAATCCATTTATTTTACTGATATTTTTCATTTGCATTGGAAACCATTTCTGTCCCAGGATAAATCTAACTCGTCATTAATTCATATTTTCCCTTGCTTTTGCAGGTGTTGCTGATCGTCGTGGTGGCGGTCAGGTGAGGGTTAGGTACAATCTAATATATTTATTTAATTTCTCATTTCCATTGAAATCTTCCGTTAAAAAAATAGATGCACTGCAAAATTTCAGGGCAGGTAATTTCAAAACATCGCACGTAACTCCGAACATGAAGCGCCGTTTCTGCCGTTAATGGACATCCACTCCATACCTCACAATAGATGTTCTTGAACATTTCTTTTTAAAGTTAATTACTAGATGTCTAAGAATTGCACGTTTATGTAAATTAGTTATTTATGGGCCTGTCACCGCAGTAAAAAGGGGCTATTGCAATATCCATTATAAGAGTAATTACAGTGTCGGGATTTTACGAGGACCTAAATTTTTTATATTATATACTATTATCTTCTTTATTATTTTATCTATTTTTTTAGTGGTGAGAACATGAGGTGTTACAAAAGAAGGCCGCAGCCGTAGGCCACAAATTTTAATCTTGAATAAACCCTGTAGCCAAAGCCCCGCTTCCCCATGCATTAACTTTACTCAGCTCAGAGCTAGAAGCCACAGACTACGCTTGAACTCTGTTATCCATACAAGCTACACACTGCCAAAAGATATTAGCGCCATAGGTCATCAGCCAATGCTTAAGCATGTTCGCTCATAGCAGGCAGTTCCTTATCCGGCTGTACCTACTCCGGCCTACTCCGGCCTAACCTTTTCTGGCCTAACCTATTCAAGCTGTCCCGGCTCACTATATACCTTCTGGCAACCAATGACTACCTCTACCAGCACACTTGGACCGCATTTCTAACTTCCTGCAGCCAATGAGGTTAGGTTAGGTCCGCTCAAGTTTGATTTAGGTGGAGAAATGTTGCAACTTGTATAGGTTGGGCCTGAAGAGGTTAGGCCGGAAGAGACTTGGCCAGATTCAGTGTGGCCATGTTTACCTTTAGCAAGCTCAAGTTGTGGCTGTGGACATCCGGCTATGGATTTCAGCACCTGACTTCATAGGCTGTTATGCCCTCTAACGTTCTTACCTACGGAAAGAAATATGAACTAAGTGTGAAATTTGGCAACGCTGGCCTCTGGCATGCGCCCCCTTACGAAACACAGTCTTGACTGAAATATTTCAGAAAACACCACTAAAATTTGTTAAAACTGCAAATAAATAATAAATTTTTTTAAATTCATCGTCGGAGCACTGATGGAGGTTTTGTTTAATGCCATTTAAACAGATATTTCTTGAATTCGAATAGGTTTAGTTTAGGATCTATCAAGAAGAAGAAAAAGACGATTCGTTAACACAAAAGTGATGATCATATCCGAAGAATGGGATATCCCATGTAACGTCAGACTGAGCTACTTGTTGAATGACATATAAATTATCTACAACAAAAAAGCAGTTAAACCTGGCATTTCTCACGAGGTTACATGTGACAATCTGTAAGTTCAACAAGCGCGTTAACCTGACTGGGTATAGGATGGAATTGCTCGGTGATGGTGAGTAGGATACCCAATTGCCTGGGTATGCATAGGCAGAGAACAGATAAATTTTATGGCATATAATTAGCCAAGTTTGCAACTTATAAAAACCATTTAGGCTCTGAATGCTAAACTTTTAATGACATAATTGATGGAGAAATTGATCACTTGATTTCAGGCTCACTCTTTCCAATCCAATCTGGCACTGTTACGTACAAAAATTGAAAGAAGGTTAGTAAAAAAACCTGAATGTCAAGCATAATATTTCAAATACTCAAATAGATGTTTATAAATAGATTAATAATTACGATATAAGTTGACTAAAACTTTGGTCTTGTGCGCAGAGGCCTACCAATGCTCGAGTCAACCCTCTGCCCGATTGGGTCGGTCACTAAACAAGAGTTTCACTGCGCCAGTTGTCTACAGCCATACTTGTGTGATCCAACAGGCGGACTAGTGGTGCTACCCATATGTCTTGATGGCACAGTGAGGACCCAATGCATTCAAATTATTTAGATAGAATATGTTGAGATATAAAATTAAGTCAACTAATTTGAAGTGAATTGTTTTTAATCTTCCGGATCTAAGTTCAATGAATCAGCTAAAAATGTTGAGTCTTCGATGGACAAGTCGGTCATCGAAGACTCATTAATATCTTTCAAATGCTGGTCATCAATTTCTTTTTTAATGTATGAATTCCTCTTCAGACGATATTAATTTGGAACTTATAGACTTCCATCAATTGCTCAATGTTTCTGTAAGTCGATACGAAGTTTACTCTAATTTATTAGAAAATCTTCTATTCGATTGCTCATTTTTCAGGTGTGTGAGGAGGTCTTTGAAGAACAGGCTACGTGTATCCCAATGGCAGATGCCACGAAATGTAATTGCGACAGCGACAGGTGCGACGACTACAACGAATTGTACACCGACAAATGCAACGCGGACGGTATCGTCGACGTGGTTGACTGCGCCGGCAGCGTAAAAGGTGCTGGGGCATGCCTGAGTGGGTACTGTGTTGACTGCACCTCTTATGGTATACCTGACCCAGAAGTTATGGTAATACCACCCAAATGTAACATCGGATACGATTGTGAAAATGGGATGGTTAATGATTCCGGAAGAATTTGCGCTGCAGACGAGTACGTTTCCAAAGATGGCATCTGCTCCCCGGCGCCTCCAGAGCCCTGTTACGCAGGGAATCTATGCACTGGGGTTTGTCCTGACCTGCTGAACTGCACCCAGTACTACTTCTGTGATCCGAATGGGGGTGTACCAGGAGGACCTTATGATTGTGGTAAAGACTATTTCTTCAATCCAGACACAAGAAAATGTGAGCAAGGAGATCAAGGCGTTTGCGATTTATGGACTCAGTGCGATTTTCCAGTCCATGCCACAACAACCGCAACAACGTCTGATGGAGGAGCAAGAGGTCTGATATTGAACAACGAATCGGTCATTGATGACGAAGCGTGGTAAATTCATTGATAGTTTCCACAAATGTTGAAGCTTGCGGCGCTAACTACGAAGCAATGATCCTGATGGACGAAATTACAGACGAACATTTTGTACCTCAGGTTATTGAAATATTAATAAATTTCATTCAGTAACGACGGAAGTTTTTTATCAAAATTTTTGAAAATCAAAAGAATATGAGAATTGTTGTCACTCGAGTTCTCCTGTGTAAAACAATCGAAAATATAAATGAGTTAACCCTTTATGAGGGTCAGTCATAACTTACTTAACCCTCTACGGCCAAACATTTGTAACCTGAGCAATATTTTCACATGCTTACTTCCCAAAAAGGATACGTTCTAGTGAGCGCAAAATGACTTGCACTGATGGTTACAGCCACCTACAACTTTAAAATGTTCTCTGTTGCGCACAAACGTCCTCAGGTTGCTACAATTAATAGTTTACCTATAATATAAGCTGAAAGTTATGTTCCCGGAGAGTGACATACGGCGGTAGAGCGTTAACAGCGCGTTGGATTCACAATACTTAATCCTTGTACTTGTATCAAATCGAATCTAAATTTGAAGCTTTGTAAAACCGTCGTTTCATGTGATAATTTCTAACAGATTCGAGAAATAATGGTTTTTCGAGAAGTCGAACCAATAAAAAGCTGGCTTTTGGAAATCTATCATTCGATCTTCTTAGTTCAACCAAAAGTGAAATTCGTAAAATTGAAAAACTATATTCTCTGGTCTTGAAAATTTAGAAATTCATTTATTAAAGAATTTCATCCACCGAAATATCCAAATATCATTAAACAAATCTGGGTGAAAAGCAGTTAATTGGTTTCATTAACAATTTTCAACTTTTTTTCGACAAGTCAAATTATATTTTTTGTTGTTCGACGAAAATTATTGTTCAGTACATCGAAAATCTTGTTACCGAAGGGTATTTTTGTTAAATTAACGACGAAGTTATTAATGTAACTTCATTAATTTCCAAGTAGTAAGACGCACTGAATAATGAAAACTTGACGAACATTACCACAATGCACGTAAATATGATACTACTCGAAAATTGAAATCCCAAAACAATCTCAAAGTTCTCGCAAATCCGCTAGTTCAGAGGTTGATGGCTGGAGTCTTATTCTAGATGATGAGGGCCTCAGCTATCACGAGTTGAATGGCACCGGGGCATCGCATGACGACGCTTGTGCACTCTTCCAGCACCGTACGAATGATGGTGTCGTTATGGGCCTCCTTCAGCTGGTTCATTGGTCCACCTGACTAAAGGTGGCACTTGAGACGTCGGCTTAATGTTGTAGTTGTCAGCACGATATAGTTCATATAAGAAAGAAGTAGAAAAACATTGATCATTTTCGAGATAGGCACTTTGAAGCCTACGACCCCGATTTGTTGATAGTAAAATACTAATGAACACTTTTAGATGCATTTGTTTCATTTTTCCCTGATTGCAAATTAAAGACATTCAATATTCGACTTCTGTTGTTTTCAGTTTTTAAAATTCATATTACAATTGAGCATCCAAACCTCTATTTTATCTTCCTGATTAAGTATTAACATAATAATGAAAAATGAGAAAAATTCAAGTTTTTTCTCAGACGAAAAGATTTACTTATACTTCGTTCAGAGCTCACAAATTTGAACAGTACATTTAGAAATGGAGTGTTCGTTATACTTTATTTACATAGCCAAAAGTAGGGAATGACTAAAACGTTTGAAATCTACTACCTTAGCATGACTGCTTGTCTTTCTTTTCTATTTTAAAATTCATCACCGAGAACCACAGCTGTACAAGTTGCTTCGAGTAAAACAGAGGTAAAAAAGTAAAGTCACTAGTTCCTAGCGGCACGCACTCACGGTGAAAAGGCTGCTAGATCCAAGCGGGTCGCAGGAGACCACGAGAAGAGAGCACAGTCACAACCGCCAATAATGACCAAAGGGAGCCTACAAGATTTTTTGTTACAATGCCACTAGGAAAGAGTGGAAAAGAATAAAAGGTGGCGCAGAGTGGCCAGAATGAGGAACAAGAAACGGAGAAGACAGTAGGAGATGAAATGGTCCATTGCGCATAATTGGATGGGTCGTAGGTAATTTGAACACGTTTGGGGTTGATTCCGGAATTCTAATAAACGAAACCCAAATTTGACGAGCTAAATTTGAAGAACTGTGACGTGATTGCGACCAGTATAAAGCGCACCGATCAGCGATCCAACGAATCCATCTTTTTGACACGCAAGGCCGACATTGATTTCTTGGAGCGACTGAGATTACTTTACTACCGAGTGAGTTATCAATATTGTGCGATTTCTGTGAATTTAGATGTCCATTTCAGATTCTGAAAAGAGTGCAATTTCACGGACAAGGAAACGATACAAGTCATTATTTCGTAGTCCATTTATGTAAAAGTTCTGTGTATTAGGGTATGTTTTATTGAAAAATTTTCAAGCTCGGTTATTCGATTATTGATAATAATCGTACATACGGGACGAGGTGAAATAGCAAGATGACTGGCTCTCTAGTTTCACGCTGCTTGTCGCTAGACGTTCCAACTACTAACTTTCAAATGTTTTTAGCGCCCCCAGTCTATGATTGAATGAGCAGTTTTTTCGAGAATTTCACATTCTTTCAAACAAAATTTCTCAATATTTTTACCTAATATATAATATTAGGTAAAATATATATAATATTATATATATAATATATATAATAATATAAATATATATAATAAAAAAAATATATATAATATATAGAATATTATAATATATAATATATATATATATATCACGTACTATTTATTAATGGCTAATATGTTTTATTATTCAATTAGTTCAATTAGGCGTAAGCAGCCGGTACCTGCTTACATCGCACCTTATAACATGACCTCCAAACGGTATTCGGTTAATTGACTGTGGGAGACGTTATCTGCTGTTGGGATTTACGAGGAACATCAGCCTATAAATATCGCTGACAGAAAATTCATGCTTAATTACAACACAATGTGCATGAAGACCAATTTCCATCAGAATATTTTGAAAATATTCTGCCAGAATGTTATTGAGAAGCCAATGTTATAATTATAAATTATTACAACTGGGATCAGCATTTGAGTTGCATTCCTTCAGATGCACGGTTCAGAGAATCAAGCTTATCGCGTAATGTTGGTTTAAATGATTTTTCATTTTTATTTGTGATTTATAGGTTCACATAGAGCTTTAGCTTTACAAAATGTACTACACATTAATATTTTGTTGATTACACCAGCATCTTTAGATTTCGATTTAGCACGCATGCTCTATATGCATTTATGTTGATATTGTGTTCGAATATACATCTTCAAGAGTGCCATTTATGATACCAGATGCCTGTTTTTTTATTCATTCAAAGTACTACTTGTTTCATACAAAGTATTCATGCAAAGTACTACGTGCCCCGTAATCGTCTTCATATTACTCATATACATTACGATTTAATTCAAGCTGAAAACTTATCTTTTCCAGTATGTCTGGGAGATACAATTCAAGAATATTAATGTTCTTCTTTTCACTACGTTGATCACATATATGTTAAATGAGTTACAGTTATCGCTTGTTTGTGTTATGTTATTTTATTTTATTCAAGTTCAGCATACAACGCAAGAATATCGTGGCAACCTTTCCAAGAACAATACATCATCAAATGTGCCAGGAATCACTATATGTACCTCACCATATGTTCACATCACTATATATTCCTTCACCACTCAGAACAGAAAACTCAATTCACCAGCTTGACTTCCTCAAAATCCTTGAATCAGTCATGATAAATAAGGAACATACAATAAATAAACATGATAAATAGAGAAGATAATAAAAATGCCTTCCTTATCGCATACCAGTTGTGAAGAGACGATGTTTCGCGGAGATAACTTGTACAAACCTAGTAGCCACTTGACGAAGTATTGAAAAATAGATTTATTACAATAAAACCATCAGAATTGTGATCAATGTTATGAATCATTAAAAAATTGAATTAATTTTCATTGCACACCTCTATACTCATCCAAAAAACATTAAATCTAAAAATGAAGACGAAAATGGATAAAAATTGGTTAAATGATAACGTGTCAGTTTAGAAGGAAAAATTACTCAAGGTTCTGTACAACGGATTTTATACGCGGTACGTTATATAGCTTTTCAGGTAGAACACCATTGCTTCCCCAACAAAATTTAGAGTCGCCCCCGCTTCTGGTAATCCAAATCAGAAGCTGCCGCGTCTTTAAATTTTCATTGGGTTACGGGGTCATGAACGATTTTTAATTTACTTCGCAGAAATCTTAATTGCCTGACATTAGATAATCGCCCCAAGTTTTTCTCATGATATGCTAGTCAACTGGTCCATCAGGCCCACCAATAAAATCAAACTGTACAGTTGCCTAACTCTTTAATTAATAGAGCATTGAGAAAAATAAAGTACTACTAGTGCTACTTTTTAGCAGCTAACACCTATTATTTGTGGTAGGCGGTGGGTAACTTAATTATGTTGACGTATTGTACAGAACCTTCTTGTGGTATTCCAAGACCCCGAAAAATAATGTCACGATTTTAGAAAGCTTAAAGTGTAAAAACCTCTGGGGACTCATGATCAATCAATCCTTCGACTGTAGCTGTTTCATCATGTAATTTTTGCTCCCTAATTCCGAAGAAGTTTAGGCTCATTTCAGCTTTTTACGGAAATTATCTTGGAAAATTTCTCACGATATTTTATCACGTTAGAGCTCCTATATAATGTCGTTCGCATTAATAAGGTTACAATCTGTGGCCCACGACTGAGGTTACTGTCAGTGGCCTTGGACTTTGCTGATTTTCTAAAAAGGTTTGCCAAGCGTAATATAAACTAACTCTGTTATAGCGAATCTGCCTGTTTCAAAGACCTCATTAACACCATAGATGAAAGTTGAAGAGACAATGCACAAAATCAAAGCGATTAAATATCGAATTTGAAGTAGCAATAAATAATCTTATTTAAGAGAAAGCTCGAAATTTCGGGATTATATTGTTAATAAAACTAGAGCCATAGTAATTGAATAAGAAATGCCTTGACAAATACTGTCCTTCGACAGTATTTGTCAAGCCATTTCTTCATTCGCGGCATTAGTTTTGCCCCGTAATCATTTCCGATTACCCAGATTTCAAACGATAATTTTCTGAGAACAAACTGCAGTGTGAGGCTGGCAGCTGCCTGGTTCTCAAAGGCGCCTATATAAGGCGCGACTGCCGTGACCCGCGAGAAACTGCAGCACGACAGCAACATTACTGAACAGATATTCAGTTGATGAGCAAATTTGTTTGTGTAAGAAATTCATCTATCCTGGATATGTGATTAGGGAATAAATGTGTCAATATTCATTGGTTATTCGACATGACTCGTCGGCCGAAGCGAAATGCTGGACAATTTATTCAATTATTGCTTTCTCGATTTGAAATATGTTTCGAAAATTTCATATTTATATAATTAAATTTCGTGACTGTTATTAAATAGATTTTAGCTTTGTCTGTTAAGGTGGACAATACAAAATTATAAATGATTATCATTTTCATGACCTTGATTATCAACGTCATTAACTGTGCAGGAATTGGACTGGTAGACGAGGACAACTTCAGAATGCATCGAGACATTGCAATGGTAAGGCACCGACAAATTTGATGCGCCAGGGTCCAATAAAATAACAGTTAAACTATGAGGAAATTGTATAACACGTTGAACGTATAATATGTTATGTCGTGTTATACAAATATTTATAACACGTTGACAACGATTGCTCATGTACCAAATTTCCCTAGTACCGCAAGAAGATTTCTAGTTCCGCTTATGGAAATATCATTTTTGATTACATGTGTGTTTTATAAAATGCATCCATTTCAGTTACACAATGATTATTCATTCATCTGGTAAAAAAATCGTGAAAAATTCTATAATGATAATAACTCCTTGGCTTATATATTAAAATCTATTTTAAAAAGTGTTAAAATAATTGAAATGGTACTCGTATGCCCCACTCTAATAGTGAACGTGATATATATTTTTAACGTGATAAATTACTTAACGTGATAAATTTTCTAACGTGATACAATTTTTAACGTGATAAATTTGTTATTGTCGCACTCTGCCAAGACGCGTTCAATTGAATTGGGGACAACAAAGCCCAAGATAAAAAATAAAAACAACCGATCGAGCAGGTTAGAGCCGAGCAGATGAGCGGATTTGTTGTTCGTACACATGTCAGTTCTCTGTGAGCAGATGAACAGATTAATTTTGCTTGTATTTGTACACATGTCCAGTTCTCTGTAATTTCTTCTGTTTTGCAGGTGTTGCTGATGGCTGCGGTAGCGGTCAGGTAAGGTTAGGTCTGAACTCTCCACCATTTTACTCTCAGTATTTCACTTTACACGCCATGATTTTAGAAATATTTCATCAAATCAAGAGCAAGCGAATTTTCCGAGTTCGCATACGGCGAACTTGAGTAAATTTATTTCATTATTTACCCTGCTTTCCCAATATTTTTGGATAATGCAGGTATATACCATAATTGATACATGTTATATATATTATTACGACGTCTTACTAGTTATTAAAAAGTTTTAATGCATGATTCACGGAAAATTATTATATATTTCCCGTTCAGAGGTCTTCCCGAGATAACTAATCCAGATCTGTGCATCGGGATTGATGTTGGGGACTATCGCTGCGGCAGTTGCCTGCAACCTATTAGGTGTGGAGCATCTGGACTAATCACTGAACAGAATACATGCCCCCCGGGCACGGTAAATACGGGTATAAGAAAACAGCAAATTCGCGTACATTGTGTGTGATGCATACAAATCGTTCATCTACGATGAAAGTGAGCACGATACCGTGCTCGAACTTGCTGATATATAGATGTTTTATAGATAGCTTTTATATATAGATATTTTTAGATAGCTTTATAAGTATTCCCATTTCGAACGAATGTTTGACTTACTTAAAAAATCACAAAATGTGTTGCATTTAGAAAACTGTTAAATTCTACTAATGAATCAATACACCTACTTTAGATTTCCCTTCTTCAAAGTAACACATATGGAAAGACAGACAAGTGTTGTAACATTATACGTAGGTGTAAAATTACTTACCGTAAACAAGTGTAGTTAGATTACGATTAATACTTGATAGTAACATTACTTAGTTGTTACACTACGCAACGTAAACAAGTGTAGTTATACTACGATTAATACTTGACAGGTGTGTGAGGAGATCACTCGAGGCACAGTAGCATGCGTTCCCATGCCATCGGCCACATTCTGCCAGTGCACCAGCGACATATGCGACCCGTATGAGCCCAGCTTCACAGCCAAGTGCGATGCCAGCGGCGTGACGGATATTGTACAGTGTCCGGCAACTGGAGCATGTGCTGGGAACGGCAATTGTATCGATTGTGCAGAGATCCCAGGGGGCCCTGTATATATCTTCCGTGACCCGGAATGCAGCTCCTTATACAGCTGTACTAACGGAATATACTCAGGAGTCACAAGCTGTGCAGAGGGCGAGTACGTGTCAAAAGATGGCTCCTGTTCCCCAGCGCCGCCCACGCCTTGTGCAGCTGCTGATAGATGCACAGGTGGACTCTGTCCTGACTTGACTGACTGCACACGGTACTACATCTGTGATCCAAATCAGGTGCCGCCGGCAACCGGACCTATTTCTTGTCCATCAAACCAGTACTTCAACCCCGCCACGTTGTTATGCGAGTCCACATCCGTTAATTGTGACCCATGGACTCAATGTGATTTCACAACAACAGTTCCGACTTGTCCAAAACCTGAAGATTGCAATGCAAGCACCGTTGGAAATTCTCCGTATGGACCGTGTGATTCACGGTGAGTTTTTCCCAGTTTTTTTCGTGTAACATTTATTCGATAATGGGAAAACGGTTATTAAAAGGATTACGTTCATAATTGAGTGTTTTGCAATACAAATTAGATCTCAAAAATTCAAGTTTTCTGATGCAAGACCATATCAAATTCATATCACCGAAGGAAAGCAACAAGCTTGTATCTCAATACCGTAGTTGTAACGTCATTTTATACGTCAATGTATGAATTACAATAATAACGTCAAATAATTTTCTTTGCCCTTCAATAATAGCGACCTTGAAAAACTCACGTATACACTCAACGATCTACACAACAAAAAAGTTTGCGATGTTCAAGTGATGGGCTTTTATCACGGCAGTCATCATTTTCATATAAGTGTATCAAATTCACCGATAACAGCTGGTCCAAAAATATAATGAAAAATTCAGTCAACCAATTAAATCTGAAGTTACTGGATAAGCTCACAGATTAAATCAAATCTGTTACTGTGTCATATTAAAACTTCTCTAAATGTTGACTAATTAAATTGTAATCAACGTTAATTCACATTTGGTTTACCAACAGTTACTGTGCGTGTCGCGAGGTCAGCAGCGGCAGCTACGATGTGGTGGAGATGGAGTGCCCAGGCGACTATGTATTCAGCACCAACCCCAACTACCCCTACTGCGTCGACCCCAGCGGAGAGCCCACCTGCTTTACCCACGTTGCTGAACACTAACACTACAACTCAACGGTCTGGTGTTCAGCACCAACGCCAACTACCCCAGCTGCATCGACCCTAGAACTAATGATACTTGCTGGTTCACCACGAAACATCGCTAGTTTGCTTCAAAAACTTCTTATAGAAGCGAACGCCTTAAGTTAAAAAGTCATCTCGATTTTCATTGTCCCTTGATTTTACTAAATTTTGTATAAAAATGTAGTATTGTATTGTATCGACTGATAAATAATTTAAAGAAATATGGCGGCTCGGTTACAATGCTTTTACAGTTAGAGGGAAATTTCAACTGTTTGGATTCATAACCTAAATTCAGAAAATAAAATAGATGAATAAAAAAGTCCTGGCAAAAGATGGTACGCATTTAATCCAACGGTAAATTGAAACTTGGAATTGGGGTGATATCAGCTTTGGAATGCGGCCGTAGATGTAGAAATTCCATCGTCTAACTATTGAGATCGTGTAAAAATATCAATCAGAGAATCCTTCATTACAGGATTTCAGGTATTTTCATAAATCTATCCTCAGCTCTCTATAATATTCTCTCAATTTATCATCCAATTACCATTTTGAATTCTCGCAATATATATGTTATTAATTGATTTTTGCTTAACATTCTACCGCCTGACATGATTAACCGGAGCAATATTTTCATAAGCCTACTTCTTGAAAAGGATCCGTTGCTATTGAGCACAAAATGACTTGCACTGCTTGATTGCAGCCACGTACAACTTTAAAATGTGTCCAGTTGCGTACCAGCGTCCAGAGGTTGCTACACTCAAGGGTTTACGTATAACTTAAGTTGAAAGTTATGTTCCCGGAGAATGACATACGGTGGTAGAGGGTTAAATTCACTTTAGTCTCAATTAGAACGTTCAACTGTTCTGTTTCTTTAAGCATTACATGGAGTTGAACATGGCTCAGCCATTACACAGCAATTTTTAGTTCTGTTACAAGCTTGGTTATCTCAGTACAGCGATCTATAAACTATAAATTTTTTCTATCGGCAATATATCGGACACTGGTGAAGGCTTCCATTAATTTATGCACAAAATTAATTAATGCCGCTTATGTTAGATTGGCCATTTAAGCGGATAAAATTTTGATAGATGCAGGCTGAGGGCGATTAACTTAATAAAAACATTATGTAATCCTATTAGAAATTTTGTTTAGTTTGTTCCATTTATTGGAAATTATGTTCCGTTTTACTGTAACGGAGGCCATAAAGATTAAGTTAGTTTAAGTATTGATTTCGAGAGACAGAAAGAAGCATTAAGAGCTCAACTTTTGACAGCCTAAGTGATACGGAGGTGACTCTAATGGTGCTTGGCTGCTGTATTGCTCACAGTGACCAGAGTGCGATTCACTTCTTGTTATCTTATTGATTTAATGCATGCTATGGGCCCTTTTGCAAGTTAATGCATGCCTCGTTACAATTTTGGTCTGACCCAATCGTTTAAGACGTCTCTGACGCATTGATATACTTGGCAGTATTGCCGGCTTTCGAGCCCTTAACTTTACGCCCTGTGGCGCTTTAACCCTATTAACTTAGCAAAGTTGGGTCGACCAGTCATTCATTAATACACTAACCTTTGCACTCAATTGCACTGTCCAACACCTTTGTACCTCTAAAAGGCTTTAAAGCCACTTCTAAATTGACCCCAGCGGTAATAAATTAGAAGGTTAGTCTCGAAATATTTAATCTTAACTTTGCATAAATTGATCATAAATCTTGATCCTCATAATGATTAATTGCATATGATACAATAGCACTTGCTCCATCAATCGAATCTTGGTTTGTAACTGTTAATTTTACAGTATAACCTCCGGTATATTCTCGTACGTCGCATCTCTTTGCCGTGTGCTTCATGCCTCCAGTGCAGCCAGCGCGACATTATTTCTGCTGTACGCGTTATTTCATTTGAGGTTAGATTGGGAATATGCGTTCACTGTCAAGTTGTGTACCGCTAAATTGGAATAACTGAGCATAATTGGTAAACTCATTTCTCAAGCTCCGGCATTCATTAAGCGAGGTCTCTTTTTACCACATTTTTCTTAGCTCGCTTTCGTGTCCGTCTGTCTATGATGATCAAATCTTGCAATCGATATTTCACCAACTTTCCCGCTAGCTAGCGCTCTGAAACTTTTAGGGAAGCTCAGCTCCCGATGACAATACAATAATCAATAATTTGTTGCACGTTTCCAGGCGTATTTATCACTATTATAAACAAATTAATTTTCGAAGTGGAAATTTGTTTTCTTGTATCCGTGTCCGTCTGTCTGTGATGATCAAATCTTGCAATTGATATTTCACCAACTTTCCCGCTAGCTAGCGCTCTGAAACTTATAGGGAAGCTCAGCTCCCGATGACAATACAATAATCAATAATTTGTTGCACGTTTCCAGGCGTATTTATCACTATTAAAAACAAATTAATTTTCGAAGTGGAAATTTGTTTTCCTGTATCCCCGCGAATACAATTTTCTACAGAACTTCGAAAAGAATTTTCTTTCGTGCATATGCGTGGCCAACTGAAATAAAATGAATATTATGTAGGATGGCTGACCTTAAATTGGCTCGCAACAACGTTTTTCATGTGTAGCAACGGACTAAAAAGGAGAAAATAAAATACTTAAAAAAAAAACTTTTTAAAAAAGTGACGCATTCCCATCTTTCCTTGTGTGCTAACCAATTCTTTTCAGCTGATTAACGCGTAACTTGCTGCACCATGGCTAGCGCTTTTTCTGTGGACGACTTGTTGTCAGACGAGAATTGTCCTGATTTGGCTTCATTAAAGAGCAAGCGGGCAGTTCTGAAGCGTAAGGTTACGTGGACGCTGAAGGCGGCAGCTGCTGACGACGACCGAAAGAAGGTACGCACCTGTCCAGAGACAGTAAGTGAGCTGCTTCTAAGCATTGGCAAGCTTGATGAAAGCATTACTGCATACCTCATTGAACAAAAAGATGTTTCTATACTGAATTATGAGATGAGAATCAATGTTCATATGAGTTGGATGTGAAAACTAAATTGAAGGAGCTGCTTAAGTCAATCGCTGACGAAGTTAGCTAACATAAACTTAAAACCAATTATTGTGACCTTAAACTACCTCACTTGAGCTGTGGCACTTTTTCTGGTGAAGGAACGTCCCATCAGGGCTATTTTACCTTTTTGACCCAGTTCAACAACATCATAGGTCTCAGGGATAATCTTACTGCATCTGTTAAATTCACTTATTTGAAGTCTTATCTAAGAGGTTGTGCATCCAAATTAGTAGAACACTTGATCATTGCAGACGAAAACTATCCAATTGCCTTAAGGCTCTACTTCAAGATGAATTTCTCAATCTAAACTGTCTGGTCGATGATTTGTTCAAAAATTTGCTTTCAATTAAACCTAAGTTTGACCCCACTATACGGGGAGACCAAATTATTCATCAACCAGGTTAGGAGCATAATTGCAAACCTAAAGCAAAACGACCGTGATTTATTGAATGATGATTGCTGTAACGAATTTGTTAGTCATGTTGTGTTTTCTAAATTGCCTGTTCCATTTAAACATGAGCTTGTAGTTAAATTGAACAACTTTCCTAGATTGGCTGATATTTTTGATTGCTATGTGGATGTCATTCGCACGTTGAACATGAAGAACTCTTCTGACTCGGTTCGTGAGAAAAGAGTAGATGTTCGCCCTAAACCCGTGGCTGATCTCAAACCGAAATCTGCTTTCCAGAATTATGGTACTAACTCTCAGGTCAGAAAGAGGTGCAAATTTTGTTCCAGTGCATCCCATAGCATGATTCAATGTTCACGCTATTCTTCATATGAGGACAGAGTTCAAAGTTGTAGAAAAATAAACCTTTCATAAATGCACCAGTACTAAACATTCAACCGACAATGTAACGCCAAACTTGATTTCCCTTGTAAAACTGGTCAAAGTAATTCGCACATTCCTGCTCTTTGCCCGAAGTTGAAAGTAAATGATTTGCAGAACCATTGTTGCATTGCATCTTCATCTAATTCAAATTCTAATTTCATTTTGCCAACTCTAACCATTGCCGTTTCTAACGGTAAATGTGTGACTGTCGAGTTCTTCTGGACTCTGGTAGCCAACGCAGCTACATTACCCATAATGTCTTAAAGCGACTCAACTTTTCTGGTTAGTTGTATGTCAGTTCTTATACCATCAACACATTTATCAATAGTGTCGTACGCGGATTTGCCGAAATCAGCCTTTGTTTGAACCTCATGGATGGTTTGAGTAACCTTCAGTTACCGCTACTTGTCTATGACAAATTTTCCATGGAGTATGAGATAGATGGTTTGAGACAAGCAATGGCGAATGTAGCGAAGATCAAAGACTTGGCTGACTCGAACGCCCTTATGGGCAGTGATAGGGTACAGCTTGAAGGCATTCTTGGCATTGACGCATTGCAGTTTATTTCAAACTTGAGCATCGTGAGATGAATGCAGGGATCCGCTTACGATTATGGCGGAAAACTCATTCCGATTGGTAATGTTGAGCACTTCCTCACTACTCAGAAAGTTAAAACTCTGCATAGAAACTTCGTTCACGAAATGCTAATCTTGCTTCCTGTGTTAATTTTGTACTTGATCCGCAGCACAAGTGTTGCGACCCCATTGCCAGCATGGCTGACGGTAGCAACGTGGAAGGACATCTCGAAAAACTTTTCGAGCTCGAGTCCATTGGTACAGGGTGCGCCACAGAAATTTACTTATTGTCAATAAAAACAAAAGTACTTCAGTTATTGTTTTAAATTTTTTTTATTCGAGAAAACAGTATCCCAAATTTTTTTCATACAGTTTTGAAAATTAAATCTCATGAATGACGGCCTCCATTGTGCATAAACTAATGAAGTCGCTTTTTTTATAATGGTTTCCACTCTATGCAGCATATCAATCGGTATTTTGGCAATGACGTCGCGAATGTTGTTCTTGAGGTGTGCTATGGTCCGTGGTCAATCGACATAAACCAGAAATTTCAAATATCCCATAAAAAGAAATCGCATGGAGTCAAACCTGGAGAGCGTGGCGGCCATTGGAGATCGCCTCTGAGAGAGATGAGGCGGTCGGGGAAATGATGTCGCAACAAATTCATCGAGTCTCTTGCTGTATGTGTTGTGGCTCCATCTTGCTGAAACCACACGTTCCTAAAGTTCATTTCTTCGAGTCTTGGTAGAAAAAGATCCTCGATCATGTTCCTGTAACGAGCTCCATTAACGGTAACTGCGCGTTCGTTTACTTAAAAAAATAAGGACCAATTATTCCCATTACCGACGTCGCACACCAGACAGTAACTCGCTCACAGTTAAGTGGCTTCTGGCGAAACTCACGTGGATTTACACCACACCAATAACGCATGTTTAGCCTGTTGACGCAGCCGGAAATATGGAAGTGAGCCTCGCCACTGAAAAAAACGACCACGTCTTCAGGCAGGTTGTCAACCAGCATTTTACATGCATTTTGACGGACAACAAAATCGCGTTCAGTTAATTCTTGCACTACAGCAAATTTATTTGAGAAACTTTGAGAAACAAACTTGGGAACTTTCCCCTTCAGATGCACCCCCTCTCGTCCCTCT